AAAAGTAATAAGACACCATGGAATACCTTTACAATCAGGCTAATTGCTATTCGTCTCTAGCCTAGAAATGTTTTAAATATTTTTTGACGTCCCAAGATAATGAACTCTTTAAAAGTAATAAGACACCATGGAATAACTTTTCAATCAGGCTAATTACTATTCACCTCTAGCCTAGAAATGATTTTCCAGAGTGATTTCCGAATGAAAAATGTAAAACTTCGCTGAAACTCCATAATGTCCTGAACCTCTATCTCTGGTGCTACGTGACATTTGAGACTTGATTTTATGTGTAGAGCTGAAACTTAATATGTTTGTATTTTTTATTCTAAAATATTAACCATATATTAAACATCACAGTCGAGGAACGATACTGGTGTCAAAATTTCGGAACAAATACACTTCTTTCAAGGTTTATACAAGCAGACGTTCAGTATAAAATTGTCCACGTTCCACAGTAATAACTATTTCTATTTATTATTCCAGACATGTGTTCGGCCTCTCATTCTAGGTATTAAATCCGTTGTGTGTCATAAAGACCAATTTAACGTTAGACTTTCATAAAAATGATTAACGGACTAAAACCATTATTTTCATGAAGAGCTGACACATGACTACAAAGGCGTCTGAGTAAAAAAAATTCATAAATGGGAAAAAAGTACAATACGAAGTAATATTGACCATAAATTTTGTCTTGCCTTGCGATAAAACAACTGTGTTATACGAACGTTGAGTTAAAACACCGCTCCTTTGTCTTTTAAGTTAGAAAAAAAAAGGTAAACGTGTTCTTCAACAAAGTCACATACTTCTGAACTCGTATCTTATTTAAAAATAGATATTAAAGATATTTTTCCTAATTAAATTATTTTATCACTGACGTATTTTGCTAGGTAAATATTTAGGCTTAGCAATCTGTGAATAATACTGAGATATACCAGACTATCCCTGTCATACTCCCAATTTCTTTGTTTCTTTCAACAAATTAATATTTCAATATAATAAAGCCAATTGGAGCAATTACCAAGAAAACGATTATATATTTAAAAATAGATAAAAAAAATCGCAAATTGTTTTGTATATATATTTACGTTTCTCTTATTTTGTTTTTAATTATTATTGTTAAAATTGTCTGGAAACTAATTCATAGAAATATATGAAATAGTGCTTGCATGAGAAATTTAACCTTTAAAGGGTTAACCATAAAACCTAAAAATTAATTAACAAACATTCCAAATAGGGTGATAACACCTGCAGTACTCTTTTATAAACCAATGTTGTTGTTTTTCTACTAAGAGTCTGTATTGTTACGATAGTAGTCGTGTGTGATGTACAATGGACTGTATTAACAAACGTATCAGCTGCATAAGAGCGGTAAGAAATTAGCAAAGTTGGGATCTTTTTCATATCTTGCTAATCACGTGGCTCCAATAGATTGTATTATAAAAGTTTTAATCTCAGATCAGTGGCTAGGTAATAACACCTTGACATTCTTTGTATCCTTTTGGCCAGTTGCTATAAGTTCATCGCTGAGGCACTATTTGGAACATTCCTGCAGATATTGGTCAGAGAACACGTGTAACTTACAGACATTCAAGACCGATGTCATTTTACAAATTTGTTTGTTTTGTAATTAAGCACAAAGCTACACAATAGGCTATCTGTGCTCTGCCCACCACGGGTATCGAAACCCGGATTCTAGCGTTGTAAGTCCGCAGACATACCGCTGTGCCATTGGGGGGCCATTTTACAAATAGTGTTAGACTGTAATATGAGTCTATATTACTTGAAAAACTATGCATAATTTTGCTTTCCATAAAGAACAGAGGAAGTGAGCACTGTTGAAATTTCGTGAACTCTAAATATAACTATACTGTGAGAAAAATGAACGATTAATGCGTTCCTCACATGTGTGAGTAATAACCAAATATCCATTCAACATTGTCATTCATTTATTTATGCATTAAACGTCATATATATATTTTATCTTTAAGCGTTTGGGGTAACTTAAGCACTTACAAATAGTTGTAACTTTTCTTCATTGCAATGGTGTTTTGTATATTTATTTATGTGAAACTAAGTCAGCCAAACTGGTCGAATCGTGTAAGAAAATATTATTAACAACCAATTCAGAACTCAAGACACTACACTCATTATTTAGCGTTCTATCCTATGATTTCTACGCATTATAAATCTTATTATGAAAATAACTTATTTGAATTTCAGAGTTAGAGATCATTCTCTTAAGTAAAATTTTTACATTGTGGACCTAAATAATGTATATGTAAGTGCACGATAGGTATAGAACGATACTATAATATTTTACTTAAATATTTCGTTAGTACTTTAAATGACAATTAATGTTAGATTTATCAATTACGTAACTGCGTAGCCTACACATACACGTTTACATATCCGTAAAATAAATTATAAATACATTTCTCTGGGAGTTCAGTTGTACTGCTATAAAGTTTAATTTGTTCAGAATTTCTCTATGAATTGCAAGGAGTAAACCATATTTTCAAGGTGACCAACGTGCAATATTCATAACATGTGTACTTAGTCTCCTTTATGTGTTTTATGTGAGAGTGTTTAACAACTTTTAACTGGTACAGTTGATATGTTATTTCATTTTTAACTGGTATAGTTGATATGTGATTTCATTTTTTAACAGTTCCACGATGAATTAATATTATCTAAACTACAACTAAATATGTGTTGGATATGAAAGTGTTTAACATCTTTTAACTGGTATAGCTGATATGTGATTTCATTTTTAACAGTTCCACGATGAATTAATATTATCTAAACTACAACTAAACATGTGTTGGATATGAAAGTCTTTAACGACTTTTAACTGGTATAGTTGTCCTGTTATTTCATTTTTAACTGGTATAGTTGTCATGTTATTTCATTTTTAACAGTCCCACGATGAATTAATATTATCTAAACTACAACTAAATATGTGTTGGATATGAAAGTGTTTAACAATTTTTACCTGGTACAGTTGATATGTTATTCCATTTTTAACAGTTCCACGATGAATTAATATTATCTAAACTACAACTAAACATGTGTTGGATATGAAAGTCTTTAACAACTTTTAACTGGTATAGTTGTCATGTTATTTCATTTTTAACAGTCCCACGATGAATTAATAGTGTCTAAATTTAAACTATAACTAAAATACAAATCCTGTAGAAAACAATTCTTGAAGGTTGCCAAATGACTGACGAAAAACAAATTACACATATATTTTGTTGCAACATCAATTTTAATCGCCTCTAATACACATAACTCACATCCAGAACAACGAAAACAATATACAAATAATAATTTCCTTCATATTTAGATATTCTTTGCTTTTCATATCGAGAAATTGCATGTCATATTATGAACTTTGTAATTTACTCGATTATTTAAACTAAAGATAATAATAGTTTCCTAAAAACTCGATTTTTATTTTATTTTAAAAATGGGATTTTTGTAATACACAATACAAATGTTGCACTGTTTCTACTGCTTCGCAACAGCTTGAAGTGCGTTTCTGTTATGAACGAAACGTAAGCGTAATACATTCAGAGATTATAGTTGTATTGAACGATTCAGATAATTGCTAGGATCCAAATATCGTAACTGTTGACTTGCACCATTATATTGTTGCAATTTCAAGGCACACACACACACAACACAACACACACACACATGCCAAAGAGGAGATTGAGTAATCAAATGTAAGTTCGTCAAATTCGTCCCTACGAAATGGGTCTCATTGATAGCATTCTAACACAAGAGTGTCATATTTGTGAAAATAATCATACAGCCTTCCGACGAATCCTTACACAGAGTTACAGATTACTCTCTGACCGAGTATTTAAAATACAGCTGGAAAAAAAAAAGACCGTATGTAAAATTAGATCGAGCCATATACGACACAAAATATCCTAAAACATTTAAAAGAAATTACGTTTGTTGGATGTTTTAAATATCGTTTTACATAATTATTACCAGAATTTGAAATATCTATACGTATGTGCGTGATAATATTTTGCTAGAATTATTTATTAATTATAGATGATCGAAAAACATTTATTTTTGAACATTTTCACTGACGAGAACAGCAACAAAACGTTTCCCTCTTAAAACAATATGAACACTATTTTACCGTTAACAATATATTGTTACGGTTATTTACTTACAAATAATGAACATTAATTACTTGCGCAGTTCAATAGTTTAAATCTATCATAAATTTTACTGAAAGCTTATGACTGATGTCACATTAGCATTTTACATATTTTTCTCAAGTTTATGTACATTAATTGTTTACTTTTCAACGTATTTGTAGTTATTAAGTAAGATATCTACGAAAGTAAAACATACAAAGTAAAGTATAGTAAAGCAAAAAAAAAAGACTTTAAAAAAGTCGTTATGGTTTTATTAGTGCAAAGCTACACAATGGGCTATCCGCATACTATCCATCAGGGGGAATCGAATCCTGGATTTTAGCGTTGTAAAACCTTTAGTCTGTGTAATATTATTCCAACACCAGGCCCCTCACGAACCCCCCCCCCCAAAAAAAACAACTACAACAACAACTAAATACCTGCTCTAGTGTCTCTTAATTTGAACTGAAAATTTGTGGACATTTTTATTGGTTGTACTAGCTAGTATTGAGACTTGAGGATGCTGTATTTCACTTAAATAGTTATCAATTAATAAACGAAAACTGCCTACAAAAGATACTTCCAAAAACCACCCTCTTTTGGAGTATAGAGATTAAACTTACTTTTAATATTCAACAAATTAGTGTAAAGACACCCCTGGGCTTCTGAGGTACGTGTTAAATAAATAGGAAATATTAATATCAGTATTTTTGTTTTATCAACCTAAAAAAAATATTTTATACGGTGAAATACAGAGTGGTGCAACCATTAGAAAGAATTAGTTATCTACAACGTGTTATCTACGTTGCATCCACTGCGGGGATCAAACTCCAAATTCTAATGTTATAAGTCCTCAAACTATTCACTAAGCCACCAGGGGACAAAAAAATATTTTGTTTATTTGTAGTTAAGCACAAATCTACACAACGGACTATCTGTTTCGTGCTTACAGCTGGTATCTAAACCCGATTTTTAGCGTTATAAGCCTTCAGATTTGCTACTGGTGGGGCAATAAAAAAAAAGACATTTTAATCTATCGTTGTACTTTATAAACCCGAGTAAACAACATACTTACATGCAACCTTCCTTAAAGGATATCTCTTCGCGGTGCTTGATAAGTTTCTATTAAGTCACAGTTTCTTGTACGTAGTTTTGCTATGAATATAAGGTAGTGAACAAGTAATTAAACAACATACTTACATGCAACCTTCCTTAAAGGATATCTCTTCGCGGTGCTTGATAAGTTTCTATTAAGTCACAGTTTCTTGTACGTAGTTTTGCTATGAATACAAGGTAGTGAACAAGTAATTAAAATCAACGATATTCATACATTTGTTGAAAGAAAATATAAACACTAACATTTTTAGCGATGCAAATTAATTTAGATTGTGGCTTATTTGAAATGCATTAAGAAACAAACGGTGTATTTGGTTTAATTTACTTAATCGGTCTATTGTAAAATGCCTGAATGGTAAACAGATACGTATTATAGCTGGGTTTTTTTCCCGAGGTTATAAACTTTTGTGACTGTGCAAGACAAATGTTATTATATATTCTAGGTAATTAATATCCTGTTGAACGTTACCTGTACTTTTATTTGTTGACACGGTAATATTTTCAAAACTACACGATGACGTTAGATCAAAACAATGGAAGTTAAACACATTTACAGTGAAATGATTAATGGAGAACATCTATATTTGTTGACACGGTAATATTTTCAAAACTACACGATGACGTTAGATCAAAACAATCTGAAGTTAAACACATTTACTGTGAAACGATTAATAGAGAACATCTATATTTGTTGACACGGTAATATTTTCAAAACTACACGATGACGTTAGATCAAAACAATGGAAGTTAAACACATTTACAGTGAAATGATTAATGGAGAACATCTATATTTGTTGACACGGTAATATTTTCAAAACTACACGATGACGTTAGATCAAAACAATGGAAGTTAAACACATTTACAGTGAAATGATTAATGGAGAACATCTATATAAAACGAACCATCAAGATGAAATTCAACAGTAAAAATAGGCTGTGGGTCTGAAAAGAGGTGTGTGTGCATGTGTGTGTCGATTCACCCACCTCTGTTTTTCAGGTTATGATATCAATTTCAGGTTTTAGTTTGATAATTACCTCATCACAACAGCTTCCAAACTAGACATGGGCATTTAGTATGAGCAACGACTTATAATTTTGTCCGTAGCTAAATACTGATATTTGGACATTACTCATGTGTAGAAGAGTTACAATACATTTCCCCTGGCTCATTTTAAAGGTATTATAAATGCGACAATACTCTAGAAGGTCATTCATTTAATCATATCCAATAATTGCCTGGGAAAAGATATTCCAGTGCAATATACCTATTTGCTGATTCCCAGTTTGCCCCTGAAGAAGAAAGATCCACCTTTTGAAAGCGCTTGGGTTATAGGGTTTTTATCATTGTGTATCATGACTTGTTTTTCTGACGTTATGGAAGTTCCTATTTGTACAGTCTTAGCTAGCATGCTTAAGACGTTAGGTTAATGGAGAACATTGCTCAGGCCTTCTGAAATCCGTGATAATATTTTTTTTTTTTAGACATTACGAGACATGGAAAAAAGATGAAACTCGTACATCAGCTACCAACGGAAGTGTAAACAATTATATAAGATAAAAACATTCTAGACAAGACTGGAAAGATCTAGAAAGTTTTTATTTTTCCTGTGTTTTACCGCAAAGCTACACAACAGGATATCTGCACTTCGTCCATCACAGGGACTCGAATCCAGGATTTTATTGTTGGAAATCCGTAAACTTGACTCTCTGGCTGACTTAGAGGACGAGATAGTACGAACAACACCGTTCAGTTTTGTTTGGTTTCTTATGAAGGCTATCTGCGCTAGCCGTACATAATTTGGCAGTGTAAGACTAGAGGGAAGGCAGCTAGTCATTACCACCCACCGCCAACTCTTGGGCTATTCTTATTACCAAAGAATAATGGGCTTTGCCGTTATGAAGGCAGCCTCTACCTTCATCTAGGGCGTATCAATCAAAGTGGACATTCCTGGAAAAGATTAGCAAGTTCACCAAGAATATTAATTAGCGAGAATCACGAGTCTCATGCACAATATTCGTATTACACCTGTCTGCAAGTAATATCACATACGATCGTATGGTTACTACATGAGTAATTAGTTGTGGTTTTTATTACTAACGTTCTGACACACTAACCCGAGTTGCATTCAGATGTGGCGCTAAAATCATAACGAACCAAGAGTATCGTCAAATGAATAAATATTGTGAACCGTAAATTTTTATTCAGCAAAACAGAAGAGTTGGAACTTAAAAGTATCAGATGATATCATGAGTTAGATTTTACAAATCGAGACAACGGTTCTTTCAAAGTATCAGATGATATCATGAGTTAGATTTTACAAATCGAGACAATGGTTCTTACAAAGTATCAGATGATATCATGAGTTAGATTTTACAAATCGAGACAATGGTTCTTACAAAGTATCAGATGATATCATGAGTTAGATTTTACAAATCGAGACAATGGTTCTTACAAAGTATCAGATGATATCATGAGTTAGATTTTACAAATCGAGACAATGGTTCTTACAAAGTATAAGATAATATCATTCACTTGTAACATTAACTTACACATTACCAAGTGTCTTGAGTGTCATTGATTACATCATAGCAATTTGTCATAGAGTATTTGGTACTGACCACTCCGCTCACTCATTATACTTAAACAAATTAAATAACAGGAAAGAAGTTCACTTTCAGTGTGCAAGTGATGCTCTGTTGCCCTCTACAGCCAGAAAACATTAATGGAGGTTATTTTGGATTCACCTTAACAGTGAGAAGGATTGTAACAGAATAGGATGATGGATAGCCATTGCGTCTATTTTGGATTCACTTTAACAGTGAGAAGGATTTTAACAGAGAGGGAAGATTGATAGCCATTGCGTCTATTTTGGATTCACTTTTACAGTGAGAAGGATTTTAACAAAGAGGGAAGATTGATAGCCATTGCGTCTATTTTGGATTCACTTTAACAGTGAGAAGGATTTTAACAAAGAGGGAAGATTGATAGCCATTGCGTCTATTTTGGATTCACTTTAACAGTGAAAAGGATTTTAACAGAGAGGGAAGATTGATAGCCATTGCGTCTATTTTGGATTCACTTTAACAGTGAGAAGGATTTTAACAGAGAGGGAAGATTGATAGCCATTGCGTCTATTTTGGATTCACTTTAACAGTGAGAAGGATTTTAACAGAGAGGGAAGATTGATAGCCATTGCGTCTAAATACGTTAATACCAAGTACCCTTGTTTTTTGCGTCACGAACATACTAAACGAAATGACGAGAATGACAACCTTCAAAACTAAAAGATGTGAAAAAATGGAACATGAGGCACACAAGAGCTTGAGATTGAAACATTGCGTATGTTTTCTGACTTTATGTAAAGTAATAATATTCAATCTCTATACGTAATTAAACCAATTGGTATAATTCTTTTTCATCCGATAAAAATACATTAACCTGGTGTATGTTAAAATAATCTATCGAGGAACACATCAAAAAGAAGACCAAAAGTTAGCTTTCAGGCCTGAATTACAGTTGCTTCTGTATCATGTATCTCAAAAATTTTTAAAGAATGTTCAAGTTAAAGAATAACCATTTAAAAAATGGGTTGAAAACTTTGCGATCCAAAATATAAAATCAAAGTTATTATTAAATCAGTTCACTACTTTCGTTCGGTCATCTAGTAACACGAAGTTTAAAAAGTTTGGTTGGCCTTGTTAATCTGATTAGTTAGATGAAACGTCCATCTTATTTCATACTCAGCTCAGGCATTTCGTTGTTTGTCTACTCACGGACGGAGCCTAGAGTACAAGACAAACAGGAAGATATGACCGATTAATCAAAGTGTTTTATTAGTATCTGATTATGCAGGAAAACGTGAAGAACATAGAATTTCCAAGCAAGATCGATTAGCTTGTTTGTTTTTAATTATGCACAAAGGCTACACAAGGGCTATCTGTGCTCTGCCCGGTTTCTAGCGTTGTAAGTCCGCAGACATACCGCTGTGCCACTGGGGGGCAGATCTATTAGCATGTGCCGTGAAGTTCTTTTCTTACAAACAACCTAGACGATGAAGATATTTAAAACAGATACACTAATGGCGTCTCCTACTGTAAACTAGTGAAGATCCGCACAACCTTATGTTTAAAAACTAGCAGTTGCTGGAGAATAACATGTGACAATAGCCTTACCTGTACAACCATAAATGTTTACTATTCTTGTGAAAGGCAATAATGAACAGGCAACAGTTGAGATTACAAAGTTGATGAATTGGTAGTACAGCAAAAAGTGGAGATATAAACAGTTGGGATTTTAGGGAAAAACACAGAAGTAATGATACTGTAAAAGATTCGACAATGTAGGACCACAAGTGCTGAAATGTAAAGGAAGTATACGCTGTATGGAGGACAGACGTAGGTCCTGACACGGCAGGTGTAACAGGCAACCAAAAAGGACTGGTTTCGGTTAATCTAACCGTTCAAATGACTTATAC